GATTTCAATTTCCAAATTCCTTGCCGAAGAAGTGCTATCGCTTACTAGCTTACTACGCAATACGCATATCTATTTATCTGTGATACTACGTAGTCTTTGGTGAATAAGTGAATATGTGAAAGCTGAAAATATTAACTGATTTGACAACAAATACTTTTTTACTTTGCATATAATCTAAACAAATGTGACTGTGAAGTTAACTTATAGATTTAAAAAGAAAGTTGATCACGAGTTTTGTTATTAATGAGGTAATTTTTTATTATTTTGGGTTTAGAATATCAGTTTTATTTAGGTATGTGAGGAATTTCTTATTCTATTTTCTATGAGTTATGTCTTTTTTAACTATATTTGTGTGAATATTTTATAGTTCTTGTGAAAATGCACAGCTGACATTTGATTAAATAATTATTTTACCTGTAATTTATTTCTTAGATATCTTTTTTACTTTCGACGTTATCTCATCACTTGAAGTTTCTGTATCTTGGAAACGTTTTACATGTATTGAAAACATGCGGATATACGAATACATAAGGTACGTTGGGGTAATACCGGACGGATTTTCGAATAGTTGGAAGAGTCTGCCAAAAATTTTAATTTCTCGACATTCGTATACGTCAGATTTATGGAACCTGGAGCAAACCGTTAATCGTTAAACGTAGTTTAGCTCTGAGAATCTTTTGCTTGTGTAAACTCAACGGTTTCTGCTTTAAAGGTGTGCGAAAACTAGACATACTTTTTTATATGCATAATGAAAAATTGGCCATTAAGGGGTAAGACCGGACTTAAATTTAAAACCACTTCTACTGCTTAGAGAAAAAAGTTTATAAAAGAGATTTGTCCTATATTTAACACTGAAAAACATATTTCAATATGATCTATAAATTACTAGAAACATAAATGTTCCAAACGATTTTCTCTTTTTTTGTTTTTTGCCATCCGATCTTATCCCTGATATAAAGAAATTGTAATTTTATGTTTCTCAAACTTTGTTATGACATAAGATGGAATTACTCAATATAAGAGAAAGATCGGATGCATTTGATTTTATATGGGAAAAAAAATAACAGTAAGGACTGGCGAAATGCCCTGGGATAATGCAGGAGTTAAGGAAGATATAAATATATTAACAAAGCGGCATTTATTATTATAAATTATTTTTTAAATACTTAATTATTATAAATTACATTTTGATTTTTAATAGAGGATAGATATAGATGTCTATGGGCCGCAGTAATCACTTAACATCAGATGGACTGTGTGCTCCTTTGTCACCCTTATCCTATAAAAAAAATGTATTTTAATGTGTACTTAAAAGTAATAAAACCATCGTATTGTTTTATTACTTTTAAATATACAGACTTGCTAACGAGACTGAGTCCCATAGTCACTTGAGTAATCAACGAAAAAATATACACGACCAATGAAAGTTTAACAACCACTGCCATATTTGTAACAGGCAAAGATCGGATAATATTCATCCGATCTTCACTCACGAGGTTTACACAAGGTAAACTCAACGGTTTCTGCTTTAAAGGTGTGCGAAAACTAGACATACTTTTTTATATGCATAATGAAAAATTGGCCATTAAGGGGTAAGACCGGACTTAAATTTAAAACCACTTCTACTGCTTAGAGAAAAAAGTTTATAAAAGAGATTTGTCCTATATTTAACACTCAAAAACATATTTCAATATGATCTATAAATTACTAGAAACATAAATGTTCCAAACGATTTTCTCTTTTTTTGTTTTTTGCCATCCGATCTTATCCCTGATATAAAGAAATTGTAATTTTATGTTTCTCAAACTTTGTCATGACATAAGATGGAATTACTCAATATAAGAGAAAGATCGGATGCATTTGATTTTATATGGGAAAAAAAATAACAGTAAGGACTGGCGAAATGCCCTGGGATAATGCAGGAGTTAAGGAAGATATAAATATATTAACAAAGCGGCATTTATTATTATAAATTATTTTTTAAATACTTAATTATTATAAATTACATTTTGATTTTTAATAGAGGATAGATATAGATGTCTATGGGCCGCAGTAATCACTTAACATCAGGTGGACTGTGTGCTCCTTTGTCACCCTTATCCTATAAAAAAAATGTATTTTAATGTGTACTTAAAAGTAATAAAACCATCGTATTGTTTTATTACTTTTAAATATACAGACTTGCTAACGAGACTGAGTCCCATAGTCACTTGAGTAATCAACGAAAAAATATACACGACCAATGAAAGTTTAACAACCACTGCCATATTTGTAACAGGCAAAGATCGGATAATATTCATCCGATCTTCACTCACGAGGGGAAACATCGGATCTCGGCCTACAGCGATCTTACCCCTGCATGGACCAGCTTTATTTAGCTATAACTTCATAAAAATTAGTATCCACACAAAATAATAACAAAAGAAGCCATATTCTCGCTAAAAATCGTAAATAAAAGTGATAGGGAAAGATCGGATGGACAAAAATAATACAAAAATTATATTGTTTTATAAAATGCCACGCAGCACAGGTCCCACTTGCCGGAGTGACTGGCGCGAACTAAGGGTCGGGGCAGGATGAAATGGCGTCGTGTAGCATATTGTTAGCTTTTCAAAATATAGCATAATTCGCCGGGAATTTGAATCCTACGGTCTTGCCCCATCACCGATCTTACCCCAACGTACCTTACATATAAATAGACGTGGTACAGCCATGCTGCAGGCAGCTATATGATGGTTGCAGCACTAATGTGGCAGCTTGATTAGAGATGCATGACACTCTCACAGAATACCAGTGTGAAATTGCAGTAATGTTTCATGTGGTGAGTGCTGAGAACCAGACCCTTTTTACTGGTAACAAGACATTCCATCTTAGTCCTCAGGGGTGACAACACATCTTCATTTGGATTCTTAATTTAGGTTAGATGTAGATGTCTATGGGTCAACATATGGGAAACAATTATTCATAAGCCGTACAAATATGGAATTGAAATCTCTGCTCCACCAAGCGGTCAAATTTTTATTAACATCATTGAGTCTAGTAGTATTCCTACCTGCCAAGTGGTGGTTTTGAATCTGCAGTAAAACCAAGATCTTATCAATCCACAAATTATTGATGTTATAGTCATAATGATTTATTCCTTCCTCTGAATACTTCTATGTAGCCAATATTGTATGTTTTTTTTTTTATTGAAGGGTAATGAGTATACTGTCCACCAAATATTAAGTGGATACTATAACTCATAGACTTGTATCCATCTTCAATTATGCTAAAAACGTTTGTTATTGGCAAATTCATCATAATTGCCATAAAAGAAGCAACAGAAACTAAAATGATAATGCATCTGCATTTTGATTATAGTATATTATAGACTAAGTCTCTTTACTAGTTACTAGCCATCCGGCCCGACTTCGCACGGTTGATTTCTAGATCTCGACAACAACGCCATCTACCAGGTTCAATTGTGAATCTAAACCAATCTCTAATCAACACACAAAATTTTATCAAAATCAGTCCAGCCGTTTAGGAGCAGTTCAGTCACACACACTGGCAGAAGAATAATAATATATATAATATGCATTATAATACATGCATACTTATAAACCATCCTCTTAAACCATTTTGTCTATTGATGAAAACCACATCGAAATCCGTTGCATTAGGTAAAAGATCTAAGCTTACAGACGGCAGGATGTGACCTTGTTTTGTACTATGTAGAGATGTTGTCATTATTGTTTTACTAGTTTACATGTTCTATTTGAGCTTATTATGTGGTCACACTAGGTATAGTGTACTCCATATGGCTCAAATTTCACAGATTTTGCTTATTTAATTAGTAGCTAAGTTGTCTAAAAACAGAAATTTTCTTCAAGATGAACTCTTTCATTGGATGAACTAATAAAGTTTTGGCATTAAAATGTGACACACAGTTTAGTGTTGTACTAGTATAGTACAGTACCAAGTTAGTATTTTAAGTGACAAACCATATAACACACCATCAGATGATGAGCTTCTGCTACTTTTTGGCACCTTTAACCACTTTCAATCCATTAAAAAAAGACTAAAATGTAATAAATACCTCAGTACACTACTACTAAGTAAAATCAGTTGTACGGCTGATATACTTTTTGGCAAAAAAGAGCCCTATCTTCTAGTTCTTTTACTATGAGTACTGACTTTCGCTTAATTAGTAAATGTCTTTTGAATTGTTTGGTGGTTCTTTGTTTGGTGAGCACTCAGTGGTTAGTGTAAGCCTCATCTAAATTTAATGTTCACAATTGTGTTACAAGTTTAAAAAAAGAATAAAATGTTAATGTTCTTCCATAAAATTATATAAATAACTACCTGACATATTAAAAAAATTAAAATAATGACATCATATTTACAAAAAAATTAAAACAGTACCTAACTAATAAATGTTACTATAGTACTAATGAATATTTTACAAATAATACTTATACAGGTTTTACAAAATGATCACTAATTTAAATTGAATTCTATCTCAATAAATCACAATGACATTCTTATAAGTAGTTAAATAGGATTCCTCTCTCCTAGCTCCTAAATTGTGTGCCCAACAGGGTCCGTAACACTGGTCTCACATTATTTTATAACATATGGTTATATATACATATATATATACATTATGGTTTAGCAATAAAAGTTTGAGTTTGAGTTTAATCACAAACCCCATCATACTCTATATTTGTGAAGTACAAATAATTATATACTACTAGTGATCCACCCCAACTTTGCACGGGTGATTTCTGGACCTCGACAACGCACCACCTGCTGGGTCTAATTGTGAATCTAAACCATCTAGGGACCCATTCATTCAAACACACAATTTTTTTCATCAAAATTGGTCAAGCCATTTTTCAGTTTTAGCAGGACTAGCAGAATGCAATTAATTTTTATATATAGAGATATAATACTAGAAATTAGTATGTATTATTTGGCTGAAATTGGTAAAAAAAGAAATAGTGCAAAACGTTACTTACGCATAAAATTCTTTATATTTCTGCTTTCTTGGTGCACCCACAAATAAGTAATATGCTGCACCACTTAAAATCGACAATAATATAGCTTGAGTCAGAACACGTTTAGTCTGAGCTCGATGCAAACCTCGCATGACTGGTTTTACAAGACACGCAGGTTGAGATGGTGGAGGTGGCTGACATACTTGAGGGCAAGGGTCAGGATTAGGATCTGGACATTTGGGATTCATAATCCTGGAAAAAACATGAATTTGGTTGAATTCAGTGGCATTCTTTGGGGGAGGTCTATGTTCAGCAGTGGAATTGTGAAGGGCTGTAATGATGATGATGATGAGTAAATAAATGAGTTTCAAAATGTACTAAGAATGTTATATCATTTACTTTGTGTACATTTGTTCATCTATTATACTGATTTTTAACTTTATTCTTTTAGCACATGAAAAATGGCTCAAAGTTCACATGGGGGAAGTCATCGGCGGCATCGCGACCACGAAGGGACAATGCGGTACACAAATACAGATTGGGAGGCGAAGGAAGCTCTCTACCAGCGGGAGTTGGATGAAGCTCGCGCTAGAGCATCACAAATGGAGAAAACAATGCGCTGGTGGTCGGACTGCACTGCAAACTGGCGGGAGAAGTGGTCTAAAGTACGCAACGAACGTAATAAAGCAAGAGAAGAAGCAAAGCAGCTAAAAAACAAGGTTGACATACTTACAAAAGAACTAACAACATTAAGAACCGAAAAGAATGATATGGAACATCAGTTATCTGAATTGAAAAAAGATAATGAAAAACTTCTGAGTATTGGTGAGAGTAGAATATTATCAGGAGATCTAACATCTGATGATGGAGTGGAGCTGAGGAGAAAGAATGTCGGTTATGTTTCTCCTAATGAACCATCAATGAGGCAAAGAGCTTCTCTAGACTCCCATAAATTTTCTAATGTTGATAATGTTCTCGCAAACAAACTTAGTGATTTGAGATTGCGATTGGACGAAACATGTAAAAACTTGCAGAGTGAAAAAGATCAGAAAGCCTTATTAATAACAAAAATAGAAACCTTAACATCAGAATTACATAATACAAAAATGGAACTCGCACATAGTGATAGAACATTAGGATCTACAGATTCTAGTCATAGTGAGATTGAGAGACTGCAAAATGAACTGCAAGATGAGATAGCAGCTAAACAAGTGTTGGAAGAAAAAATTGCTGAATTAAAAATGGAAATTGAAAGATTAAAGTCTGAGAATACTATACAGTGGAGTAAGAGGGAGCTTTTGGAGACTGAGAACATAGCAATTTTACGCGAAAATAAAAAACTGTACAGTCAAGTCTGTGAGTTGAGAGAGCAGATACACAAATTGAATAGAATATCAGATGGAAGTAATTATGGTGTAACATTCACTAGTGATCATAATACGAGGGTGAGTTCAAATGTGCTATATGCCAGGAAATCAAGCATTAGTCCAAGATCACATGAATCAAGCAATGCCTCATCAGAAGCTAATCTTGCTCAATTTGATACAAAAACTAATACTTCCGGTGAAGATGATGAATTGGCAATTGTGGAAAGGAATGAAAATTGTTGAATAATTTGTAATTTTACCTGATAATTATAAAAACGAATTACTTAGATTCCAGAAATAAAATTTTATTTCAAATTGACATAAATTATTTGACACAGATTTATTAAACATTAGGTGACAGATGCAAAAGAATAAATAAATATAAAGAATTTTACTAATAAAAACTATTTATTGGGGAGTATAATATGATGTCTTTCAAATTGCTAGACTTGCCATAAAAATTTAATTATTAGAAGGCTTATTACAAAATAATATTATGTACCTTTTAGCCAATACTTCACAAATTATTACATGTATACAGGGAAACAAAATTAAAACATTGAAAAAAAAAGTACTTGAAATTGATCAATGTAATTTTTATAACTGTTAATTAGTAATATGCAAAATAAAAAAAAATACATTATATTATATTGAATATGATGAAACAAATTGTATAGAAATAATCTACTTAACATGTGTATTATCTAATTAAATGTTTAAATTCGAAAATATTACTGATAGGAAAATTTTTATTGAATCCTTGATGCAACATTCCACTTAAATGAACTTCCATTTCTTACGAAGTATTTAAAATAATTATCACAAGAACAAAAAATATGAATGTACTATCATAATAAAATTTAAATAGTATGATTAGGATGTGTATAGTTTTTCTAAATGGATAGGATTTTGCTTTAAGTGAATGGGGGTGAATCTGATTCTATTTTTTTATTATTATAAAATGGCTTTATGAACAAACATTTCAATAATAAAAAAGCAACATCTCTTTAAGAGAAAGTACGCAGATAAGAAATGAGGAAAGTGATTAATAGAGGCCACTTGGGAAATACTTGAAAGATCTCCGCCTTCTGCCCCATCAACAGGAAGCTTATATCAACTATCAGAAGCCATAATATTTTCCCGCCATTTTATTTTTAGTCGTCTCCTAAGACACCCACTGAATTAAATTGGGTAAAGGATTCTGTTAAACAGCCACCACGTGGCAAGGACTTTTATATTCTCGCCCATTCACCTACAGCATGAAATATAGGTACCCCATTTCCGGTAAAGAATAAATTAAATTAGACTGCAGTAGTTTAGATGTCAGTGTTGGCACTATGTTAGTGGTTGTTAATGATTGTGATAGTCTAGTTTTTAAAAATTGATTTAATAGATGTATTAAAAATAATGTCCAATGCACAGGAGAGACAAATTAAAAATTAATTTAACTTGTAGAACTCGTTCGCAGTTTAATAAATAAATTAATCGACATATTTTGCAATAAATATGACTAGCATTGTATAATACGATTTTAACCCAACCCAAACAGATACAATTATCTTTTGCCGTGTAAGAGAATAAACACTACGTCTTATCATACCGTTCCTGTAGCTGTCAAAAGACGACAGAGTGAAATGAAACAGGCAGTTGGGTAGGAGCAGCATTTATCTAATTATTATACTTTCCCTCACCCTTGACTGTTTGGTCTCCCCTGCCGTGGGTTTCCATCTGGTTAGACTTTATTTAAATATTTTTTATGTGTTAATTCTATTGTATATTAACCGACTTCAAAAAACGGTGGGGGTACTCATTACGACTGCATTTTTTTATGTGTGTTACTTCCGAACTTTTTTCTAGGTAAACCGATTTTTATGATTCTTTTTTTATTTGAATTTTCATGTTCATATAAATTTGATCAAGATCTGACCCGCAGTTTTCGAGTTATCCGTAATAATGCGTATTTCATTGATTTCGATTACATTGATGATGTTCTCATTTTATTTATATTGGAGTCGGTTGTACAAAATTTTTAAATTTGTATCATATGTTATCTATTTATATGTATTTATACATGTATATCCCAACCAGACGACAACTAGGAAAATAATATTAAAATATTTACCGGTCGCCAACCCACCTGTCAAGCGTGATATCTATAGCAAATAGCCTAAACCTTCAGCAGGGGAGGTTTGGTGGACTGTAATGATTATGATGAACTATCATCTGCTAATTTGATTAATAATATTTATTTATGCTATTTATTCGTAAATATTTGGTGATCAATCACAGCAATAAAGGTAAAAAAAATCCTTTAATATATTTTAATAAAACCTGTATGTATATGAAAAAATGTTGCTTGTGCATTGATGACAGTCCCGTTTCCTTTGGTTTTTGATTTTGAAGTTTACAATTATTTCTAATGGTAATTTTTATATTATAAGGCCTCCTACCAAATTGTAAAATTGTATGATGCAAATTGCGTGTCTGTTAGTGGTTTAAGATTTATTTATTGCTTCACTTGCCTGAATAATTATATTAATTTAAGAATGTCAACTTTATGAAGTAGACTTTAAGGTTGGAGTTAGATAATACCATGGAAAATGTTAACCTTGAGCATTGAGTTATATGTACTACGTACTAGAGAAGCCATTCCGAACATTGACTATGTTCAACTGAACTGTAGTGCAATCCATACAAACTAAATATTGCGTAGATTGAAGTTTTGTGAATTCCATAAAATAATTATTATTACATTTTATTTAGAAATATGTTTGTAAATTAATTTATTTTTATTTAATATATATATATTTTCTAATATAAAATAAATATAAAAATTTATTCTTATATTTATTTTATATTAATATCTTATTTTAAAGTCTTCGCGCATACGCGACTACTACTCCCGGTCCCGCGCATGCGCGAAGACATAGAGTAGGACACAATTTTTGTTTGGAATGGCTTCTCTAGTACGTAGTACATATAACTCAATGGTCTTGAGTGACATGACTAAATAAATAAATATTCATTTAGGGGCTAGAAGAGAATATTACTGGCATTGTGTTAATTTAAGTTAATTTTCATCTTTACCCTTGAAGCTTAAAATATTAAAATATACGTCAACGAGCTACGCGACGTATTTAGTAATATCAAGAAAAGATTTATAGAAAGACAGGTATACATTTTGTATTAAAATAAAGTAAATTGACGGCTCGGTAAAGCAATGACTGGGGCTTGAATTGCGGCGCTGATGGCAGCGGGTTTGAATCCCGCACAAAGCAAGCGTTTGTATAGCCTACAAAGTATTGTACCGGATTTGGATGTTTATCCATGCGCAATGTATTTATGTAAAACGCCTCCACGAGAAGGAAATCATAATGCTATCAAAACAAATGTCTAAATCTAGTATTTGAGGCCTAAGATTTTTCTGTTATTTATATTATTTTCATGGCTTAACCTATCAGTAAACATTTTGTCTGTATATTAATATATTCTGTACCATTTAGCTTTATTCCAATGCTCTTAAACGAAATAATTCTATTTAATTGGCGATCTCATTGTCTTTTGTATGCATTTTTCGAAAAGTTATTATTTAATTTCACAAGAATAAATTAATCACTTACTGTTTTTTGTTTTATTGTAACTCACGACAAACAACTAAATCCATATTAGTTGAATTAACCGGTTCAGTGCGGATGGCACGCCAGGCGTGCCAACGATTACTTTTGTGTGTGGCGTATGACACACAAGTCGTGTCTTTTTAAAAATTGTTATAACTCGCTGAAATTGCGTTTTTGGAAAATTTATCCAGAACATGCTTGCGGCTTCGTTTCTGGATATTTTGAAAATTTGAAATTTTTAGGGGTTGACAACCTTTTTTAACTTGTACATGGTACTCTTTTTACTTTGTGGGTTTTAAATCATGTTGTGGAAAAATAGTCTAATAAGTAACAAATAATAGTACTTATTGCGATCGCTCACAAACTGAAGTTGTAAATAAATTTCTGGAAAACTAGTCTCCTGTTAAAAAAAAAACAATGCGTTTGTCTTATTGTTTAATTTTGCTTAAAATGTTTGAACTGCCGTCTTATTACTATCATACGGCCGAATAGACCTACGAACTACCATGTGCTCTTGTGATATAGTAGGTTTATTTTTGCTGGAAACAGTTTGAAACCGTTTATGCATAAAAAAAGTTCGCTAATAAATAATCTTTTGTCAATCCGCCGCCGTATAGTGCCGGCGTTTGTTTCCTTTTCAAAACACTTGTTTTGCTATTTTTACTAATTAGACGTTTTCAAATCTTCTTTACTTTTACATTTGTATAACATTAAATAATATTTAACATTTGTAAATATTAATGAATCATAAACCTTATTTTTTCCAAATTAAGGTTCTTGATTGTTTGATATTTACAAATATTATTATTTAGTGAAAATTTAATTTAATAAAGACCAAGGTTTTCCAGGGTGATTTAGCTGTACCTACTTATATAAATGATTTTTTTTATAAAACAAAAAAGTCACTTGCTCTCAATTTCAAAGAAAACACGTAGTTACCCACTAAAAAAATATCCTTCTGTTTGTAACTGATGTTTGATGTCAACTAAACTTAATTAGGTCTAAACAAGTGAAAAAAGCATAAAAGAGAACATTACTTTTACACATGGCTTATGTGGCGCTTGACACGCCAGTAGTGTCATGAAATATTTGTTCGCCGCCACAGCTAAAAGTTGTCGAAAATTGGTGCCGCAACGAATCGGTTAATTATAACCAATGCTAGTGTCCCTTCAGCAGTGCCAAGTCAACTATCAGTATATTTAAGTGCTGAAGTTTTTGTACAGTAGGGCAACGATAGCTATTCGAGTACGAAACCTATCCAACTACAGAAAGGTTACATCCCTCGAAACTTCTTCGCTGCAGTGGAGGAAGTTTCGAAGCTATTGGTCTGAAAAGAATCAATGGCCTATATATATTATACCTTCGATTTGCCGACGATATAGTCATTATGGCAGAATTACTGGGGGTCCTCAGCACTGTGGTAGAGCCATGCAGCAGCTATATTGGTAGTGTAGTTGTAGCACGAATCCGTCGGCTCGACCGTGGAGCGACTACGCTCTCACAATACCAGCGTAAAATAGCAGTTTAATGTTGCTGTGTTTCATATAATGAGTGCAGAGAACCGGAGACCCTTTTTACTGGAAAAGAGGCATTCCATCTTAGTCCTCACGGCTCACAACGCCTCTGCATTTTGATTCGCAAACGAGGATAGATGTAGATGTCTATGGGCCACAGCGACCACTTACAATCAGATGGACTGTGTCCTTGCTTGTCACCCGTATCCTATAAAAAAAAAACGTAACCTGGACCTAGTTATGTACAGAAAGGTGTAAGGGTAATTTCACAGTCTAACAGTCGGTCACCGAAGGCGTCTAGACGGGGCAATCTCGCGGTGCGGTGCGGGGCTAGAAGTCGGCTGAGCACTTCCTCAAGCGGCTGAGGGCCGTTTGTGACACACTAAACTTAAATGAACATGGATAATACAAAGGTCATGTGTACCTAGGACAAATTGTCCGAAAGTTCAACTTCGACCAAAAGGACATTCGACGGATTCTAATTTCTGAATCTAGTACATGAGGCCTAAGATTCAAGATTATTCTGTTATGTATATTATTTTCATGTCCTATCCTTTCCCATCCCATCCCAGATATGCGGTAGATCCAGAGTAACCAACATAGCGCAACGGTTCAGTAAGCTGCAGTGGAAATTTTCATACGTGGTAGAGCCATGCTGCAGCTATATTAGTGGTATAGTTGTAGCACGAATGGGTCGGCTCGACCGGGGAAGGACTACGCTCTCACAGAAAACCAGTGTAAAATAGCAGCTTAACGTTGCTGTGTTTCGTATGGTGAGTGTATAGAACCGGAGGCCCTTTATACTGGCAAAGAGGCATTCCATCTTAGTCCTCACGGGTCACAACTCACAACGCATCTGCATCTTGAGTCTTTATTGAGGATAGATGTAGATGTCTATGGGTCGCAGTGGCCACTTACCATCAGGTGGACTGTGTGCTCGTTTGTCACCCTATCCAATAAAAAAAAATTAGCCAGCCATATAGCTCGAAGAACTGACAACCGATACGTCAGATACTTTTTTGAATGATAGCCTCGTACCGGTCGGTAAGCGAAGTGTAGTGCGACCCCCCGTTAGATGGAGTGACGATCTGATGTAAGGTACGAGAAGTCTCTCAAGGCCGTGCTTTAAGCATTCCTTGGGAGATGTCTGTGTTCAGCAGTGGTCTTGTAATGGACACACCTGTGTATGAATGAGCAAAACAACTTTTTAATCTTATTATTTATTAACAATATGCCTACCGTTTCGGTAAATTATATATTTCATTATCACAGACTTAGAAACTAATTTGATTCATCGAAATTTGCAACTGGCAGCATTCCTAAACGTTTAAATTTTGATTTCAAATGTGTCTTCTTTAAGTTTTTATTAGGCGGGTCATCTTTCGTGTTTCTAATATTTTTGATATCTTCGTTGCCTGAGTCGTCATCATTTTCTTCAGAATCTGGACACAGCGTAGCATCCTCGACAGTATCATCGCTACTCATGGAAATATCTGGCAAGCTAGCTAATAAAGCTATATCTCTATCAACATTTTCTTCTTGCGATTTATGACTTCTCCCATATTTGTCGATTATTTCTATTTCAAAAACTTGACCATTATCCTCTGTCCTTATAAAGGAAGGCAAAGACTCAATTTCTATGTCAACTTCATTCTCTTCTCCAATCTTTCCAAAATCCTCTTCTTCATCGTCACTGAATTCGTTTTTCTCTTCTGGTACTATCTCCACATGGTATTCCTCTAATTGGTCATCGTTTTCTTTACTGTCGTCTTTTTCCTCTTTTATAATCCTCTCTACCTCTTGTTTTTCAGGGTTGGATTTAGGCTTTTTAGCATTACTACTTTTGGGCGATGCTCTGCGTTTCTTTGGCGATTTGCAAGCTTGAGGTTTGGTGGGGCTGTTAGTTTTAACTTTGCCCGGTTTTGATTTAATATCACTTTTCTTTGAGCTTTGTTGTGTTTTGCATTGCCTTTGTATTTTTCTGAAAGAAAAATTAACTATCTTAAAATCTTATTCATTACCATTATACTTATTGCCAATTTACCGTGTAGTGGGGGTGTGAGAAATTCCAATTCCCCATATCATCCCGTAGGTGTTATAGGAGGCGATAGAGGGAAACAAATCAGGAGATGGGTAGCAGCTAAACTAAAAAAAAACTGCGGTTGTCGACCCGTTTGCCAAGCATGGCAACTATTGCAAATATCCCTCCTATGTGGCAGGCAATCTATGGGGGAGGCCTATGTTCAGCAGATTATAATAGACCGTAACCGTAACGGTATTGCCACCTCATGAAAATTACATTTGGTGATTCATCATTTAGTCTAGTGTTAATTATCACTAAGCTTAGTGTAACGGGTTTTACCCTTTAGTCTCGACTAAGGTTAAACCAGGCACTCTCTAGTTTACATCTGGTTAAAATTATAATTTCATGGGGGACAGCAAGATTATTTTTCCACAAGTTTTATTACAAAATCGATTTAAAATCTTTATAAATGAACATTTATACATAATATGATAGTTTCATACATTTTCTACAAGTGAGACTTGGAAAATTTAGATCTTATTCTTACCTAAGGAATACCTAATAAATTCGACACATATAAAACGATTTCGTTTACGTTTAAAGTGCAATCGCGAATGTTTTTTTTTTAGTATCAAAATAAATAAATAAATAATAAGATTTCTAACATTAGTCATGAGGTTCGTCTTCAGTTTCAAGTATGTTCCCTACTAAGATTTTTAATCTATACAAATAAATAAAATTGAAGAGTGTTTGTAATGTCAAAATTACAGCTTTTTACTAAATGCATATAAGGTAAAGTATATACGGTACTAATAACAAAACTACAATTTTTAAAGTTTTGTCTGTCTGTCTGTTTGTTCCGACTAATCTCCGAAACGGCTGGACCGATTTCGATGGGATTTTCACTGGCAGATAGCTGATGTCACAAGGAGTAACTTAGGCTACTTTTATTTTAGAAAAAGAAAAGAATTAGGGTTCCGCGCAAAAAAATTTAAACTCCAAATAACACGCAGGCGAAGTCGCGGGGAACAGCTAGTTTAAAATATCTATGGATTTCGCAAAATGAATACATGAAATTGAATAATGTTGCATTTAACAATAAAAACTAATGTATTCATTTGGCCTTGGCTCATCTGTCAACTTAATAGAATATTTGGATAATCCGCCTTTGGATAATCCTCGTAATAAAAGTCAAGTATAATCTTGATCTAACTTTGAACTTTTTTGTAATAAAGCTAGCTGTTCATGGTGTTTTCTTTTGGGAATCACTGATGCTGAACATCAGACATTCTTAAAGTTTTTGAATGAAGGCTGTTTGGGGGACTTAATTTTTTTAATCAAAAAAGACGAAACAAGTGACAAAACCTAATATCTATACCTGTCTTCAATACCAGTGAGATGTTTCATGGGGTTGACAGTGCCTTTCATCGCTTTGGCCTTAATGGCCTCGACAATGGTGTGGTGATCCGTTGAGGGTTCTCTCTTGCGATTTCTCTCCTCCTCCTCCTCCTCCTCCTCCTCTTCGTCTGAAACTGTTGCAAGTTTTGTTTAAAAACACGCTACAATGTGTCCCTTCAGAATCTGACCAAGACCGTCACTATTGCTACCTGCGTGATATAAATTGCCTACAATTGGGCGCAACCTCAGGTTACATACGCAGGCATGGCTAGCGCGTTTTAGGCGAGCGACTTACTAGTGAATTTCAAAGCTTTTTAACACTACGTAAATAGATTTTTTGTAAATGCTTGTATAAATATTATTGTTTAGTATATTTAGTTATCGGCGCTTCTACAAAATACTTGTTGGATCGAGAGTGACGAGAGGTTTGCATCACTCTACATATCGATGGCGGCGTGGTAGAATTGAGTGTATATCGAGAAACCCCCTAGTTTGGGCCGTATAAAGTTCACTATAGGCGCCGTTCACGAGATATTACGCTTAAGTCTTTCTACGAGTAGTCATTTTAGGAGTAAAGTCATTCTACGAATAGTCATTCTACGAGTAACGTCATTCTGCGAGTAGTCAATCTACGAGTACAGTCATTCTACGAGTAAAGTCATTCTACGAGTAAAGTTGTTCTACGAGTAAAATCATTCTACGAGTAGTCATTCCTCGAGTAAAGTCACTCTACGAGTAACGTCTTTCTACGAGTAAAGTCATTCTACGAGTAAAGTCGTTCTACGAGTAAAGTCATTCTACGTGTGCTAAGATCGTGTCGTAGTTCTGTTCGTTGTGGTGGTTCTTCTGGTGCAGGCAAGGAGGATAGTGTTGCTGAGAGGCTGACCTGTGTTACACTGAGATAATTATTGTTGCTATTGGTATGCATAATTTGGTGTTATAATGTAATTATGTCCTTCACCTTACACCAGTGTGTAATTGTGACGGGCACATATTACGGTATGGTCGAACTGTAATTGCTCAATACTGAATGTATAGTGCAGTACGCTGTTATATTGGTGATAATGATTAATTGCGTCAGCAAGAGAGCAAGTTGAACATCCGCTCTCACACTTATTATTCTCATGCATTCCCGATATTTCCGACATAGTTATAAGATAAAACAGTTGTATAAGTTTTAGTGTAATTTATAGGTTTATTATAGAAAATACATTCATTAACAATTTTGAAAACATAATAATTAAAAAAAATCAGCAAATAATTTACTAAAATTATTAATTTTATCACTCCGCGTCCATGTTTTCCCTCCCAGTATTTACTTAAAATAAATTATACGTCATATTCAGAGTTTTCCACTCTTATATTTAATAACCGCTATTTTTGAGACGGTAAGCTTGTTCACGTAGGACACGCGGGCGCGGGGACGGCAGTGTGCGCGGTGGTTTGGGCGAACTTGTGTGCACATTGGCCGTCAGCCGTTTGCGCGAGTGTCACATGTCAGAGGTTGTAAACATGGATGGGTAGGTATGGTGAATTTCATACCTTATTCAGTAAAAAAGATACAGCCTACCAGAGGAGTAGCGTGGCTTAGAGGGGCCCTGTATCAAAATTTGTCGGAGGGCCCAAATTAAGTGTAAATATTTTTCACAAAAGGAACAATTTTCAAAGGAATTTTCTCTTACATACGATCGGGGCCTCTGTAGCCCGGGGGCCCCGTATCATTGATACGGCTGATACGGCGGTAGCTACGCCCCTGCAGCCTACTTCGTTACACTCCTGGGCACAGGCCTCCTCTCATTTATGAGAAGGCCGCCGCCGCGCTGTCCCAATGCGTGTTGGTAGACTTTACATGTCTTCGAAATATTTTTTTTTAATTTCTAAGACATGCAGGTTTCCTCACGATGTTTACCTTCATCGTAGAGCAGGTGGTAAATAACATTGGTGCCGGCGGGGTTCGCACCGGGTTTGCTGGCATACTATCATATTTACAGCGAGCGCTTAGCCCCTCCATAGTTTTAAACAGTAATTTGAGGTAATATTTGTAAAGATTTTTTGGATATACTAGGATGACTGTCGTTTACAGCTCAAACTGGTTGATCCTATCAGAAGACGCGCGTCAATCGCGCACTTCGCCACTAGTTCGATGAAAACACACACAAACAACTCAATGTTTTTATAGGATAGGGTGACAAACGAGCACATAGTCCACCTGATGGTAAGTGGTTGCTGTGACCTATAGACATCTACATTTATCCTCAATAAAGAATCAAAATGCAGATACGTCGTCACCCGTGAGAACTAAGATGGAATGCCTCTTTTCCAGTAAAATGGGTCTCCATTTCTCTACACTTACCATACGAAACACAGCAGTTTCAAGCTGACATTTTATGCTGGTATTCTGTCAGAGGTTGGTCTTTCCCCGGTCGAGCCGACCCATTCGTGCTACGATTATACTACTACTAATATAGCTACACTTCATGCGTTTGATAGTGCAGTGAGCGCGCCGCACGCGACAGTCGCCAGCTTGCCCGCTATTTCTACCGCATCTGCATTTTGTACGTGAACACTTGCATAAATAATGCTAAGTGTTTGATTTAATACAACTATATTATATGCTAGTAGAGACCGCCCCCGCCAACGTATCCGCGCGTTAACGTGAACTAATTCAGTTTGCATTGCAATTATGCAGGCTATAAAAACATCGGAAAGTTGATGATCAACATCAAAGAAGTGCAACTTCTGTACGTAGTACTATTATTTATTCTGTGACTAAGATAACTATTATAAATATCCGTAGTCTACTGAATTTAGTAACTGCCAATCACGCCGCCAGTCCTGCGTTTTTTTTTACCGATACAACTTTTTGAGGGTTAAATAGAAAGTAGAAGTAATTAAAAACGAGATTTCAGATTGCACTTGTGTTCACCAAAATCTAAAACTATGATATCGAAGTTTCTGAACGATTTTGCACATGGCGACCCGAATTGAACACCTCGGTTGGCTTTGCCCCGTTTTCTACTGACGGCCAAATAATCTTTTATCTACTGTATGAATCTAAACTATAATATTAAATATTAATAATTACGATGCGACCACCCCGTTTGTAGTTCATAAGATTAACGTTAATTTAATTAATTCAGGTCCAAATTCAATAAAGAGTCATTAATATATCTTCCTAATTTACTTTTTCTAAAAACTAAAAATTAAGGTTTACCAATACACTTTGTTTAAAAAATACAAATCTACATTTATACTGCTGCTTTCAGTGTGAATGCAGCCATAATGAGGGCATCCGCGAGTTTTTCTGCTACCAGGGTGGCGCCACTTAAAAGTGAGGTATATTTGATAGATTTCACAATGGGAAAGTTAATTTGTTCGAAAAATGTAAAGGTTAGTGTTTCTTTCTGTACTATTAGCTATATTTTATATTAATAAGATTAAAAATAAATAAACCAAACCACAGATGTTCATAAAAGTAGAAAAGGCATTGTTTTGTGTATTAATATAATACTCTATAAACTGATAAACTTTTATTAAAAACTAACTTCTCAACTAAATGACTTTGTGTAACAAAAAACTTTACCTCAGTGTCAACAAGCGACATCTGGTGAGAAGAAAATTATTAGCCCTAATTCTATGTTATGGCTCAACAATTCACACAAGCTCATATGAAGCTGGCGTGGCGATAATATTAAGTTAGTCCCACGGAGCAAATACCAAGAGGAGAAGGCCTAAGCAACTGTGTACTGTGACTCTAACTAAGTCCTGACGTCATCACAGTGGGCGTGGCTTTAGTTAGTATACTGTCAGCGTTCGTCCTGAGCGGGTATGTGTCGAAAATCGCAAATTTGTGTATTTTCGTAGTATTAAGAAGAAAAGGATATAGTATTGTGTTTTATCGTGTAAAAACTACTCAGATAGACGCTGTGATGCTATGGATGGGATCACATAGTAATTTTATACCTAATTTATTAAACTAATTTTAGAAAAAAATCTTTGCGTCGGCTTTCAAATACAATTCGACACTAGATGGCGTGGGAGCTAAAAATACAAAGGTACGTAGAGCTCAGTATTGGTAAAATAATCATATGAAGGTACTGAAATTTGTTTTGCATTCAGTCCTAAATAATTTTTAATCGCCAAAATATTATTTTTATAGTTTTTATAATAATTTTGTGAACAGGGCGCCATCTATCGTCAATTGAAAGAACAATCATAAAAATAACAAACGGAACGATGCGAGTAGTTTTACTATTTATTGGTAGATGGAAAATAGTTAATTGGGCGGAGCTTAACACCGCCTCACCCCGCAAATTGTCACGCGTTGTTACATAGTAAAATCTTATTAAAACACCTCCTCTTTGTATTTGCTCCGTGGTTAGTCCCACGGGTGACAACATCAACCACGCAAATACATATATATTTTCACCTCATCTAAACTCATCTCTCAAGATCTCTTTCCAACTGAAAATGTCGTGGGCTTGTGACTTATGGTTGTGTTTATGGTTGGTAACTGAACTTTCATATTCGCCGTTGTCGTGCCGTTTGCTCCGAGCTCTTTTAGAAACACCTAGCAGAATATCGTATATTACGTGCAGCAACAATGGTGACTTTAATTCAACACGTATACGTTTTCACATTTTCGTTTCATGAAGAAATTATATTTCCATTAAACGTTATTATTTACAGATTTATTTAAAATTTTAGAAAATAGCATCTTAGAGCAACCTGTGCTTAGAGAATTGCCGCGCAGCGGTCATTTGACGGGGTCACGGATTATAACATCGCATCATTGAAAATAAAACGAATGAGCAATACCATTGAAGGAAAGAGACATCCCTTTGTCGGCGAGCGGGAGGCGCAGGCGACGCGCACCCACCCCGCTGCACCGAAATCGAATTCTTTTTTTTTTGCATTTCTAGTGCTAGCCGAACTCGAGTCCTTGACACACTTCTTCACAGTAGTGCGCATAATTACGTCGACTAATATTTTTGTGAACTTTTCCACGAAAAAGACGCTTACCTATTATTTTATTTAATAATTTTTATGTAATTAGGATAGTAATTAGATTATGGTACTGCGATAAATACGCTTTGTTTTATTTTCGTTTTCTAATCTAGTAAGTACGTTTAAATCTCTTGCGATACGGACGCTTTTATTTGTGTTATTAGTGCTTGTGTAAGTAAACTTGTGATCGTAATGGCAAATATACATCCGAACTACACAGCAGCTGTATATGCGGAAATGATCCTAATTTACTTTATATTTAATTGCGATAAGGACATATCGGGAGAGATATGGCCATTCAAAACAATGCCCTACTCATCTTTGCACTATTGTAGGGGCTCTTCAGCGCATCCGCGAAAAGCGGCCAGTGGATCCTAGGTCTCAACACCCTGATCGAAAGCCTACACTACAAAACCCAATCCAGTTAACTGAAAATGTGATACAATAATTCAAAGACCAACCCAAAACTAGCCTCCGGCAGAGCGCTAGCCATTTTCAAGTCCATCATACTCGTAAAACCGTACATAGGATATTAAAACGCGAGAAGTGGCACCCATTCAAGTTCAGAAAAGTACATACTCTGCTATCGCGTGATAAATTAATAAGAGTGAATTATTGTCAGTGGTTACTTAGTAAAATTGAAGAGAACAGTGACTTTATTTCCTAAATTTGTTGGCTGACGAAAGCATGTTCACCAGAAACAGCATGTGGAACCAGTACAATCTGCACCATTGGACACCCAAAAACCAAAATCCGCGCGTTTGGCGGGAGACAGCCAATCAGTACAGATTTTCGGTAAATGTTTGGGCAGCTTTGGCAGAATTCACGGTGACAACATCATTGGACCCGTATTCATTGATGAGGCTTTGAACGGAGAAAGCTTTGTTAATCTACTAAATGATACAGTGTCAGAATACATAAACAACCTAAACGTCCATCGATACCAACGAATGTGGTACCAATTAAATGGCGCGCCAGCACACTCTGTAACAACAGCCAGGCAATGGCTAAAAGACACGTTTGGTGCACAATGGATTGGTAGATTTGGATCTCGTAGGTAGCCAGCAAGATCATTAGATATTCACGCCACTCAATTTTTTTTCTGGGGTTGCATCAAAGACGATGTGTACGCGGAGAACGTGGATTCGGTGGAACAATTACGTCATCGAACAATAAATGCGTTTGAGAAATTGAGAGAAATGCCTATAAGTGACAATTTATTTTCAAATGTGCGGGAAAACATGAAACGCCGTTTAGCTCTTAGTATCCGTCAACACGGTGGTCTCATTGAAAATAAGAAAATTTAAAATAAACACAAATAAAAGCAGTGATTAGTGATCACAGTTATAACCAATAGTAACAAGAGACGGTGATATGATAAGTCTTTAACTAAGCACCTCTGCTGTAAGTACTCTCCGGCGCCGCGCTGCTCGGTTTCTTTGAATTATCAAAGAAACCGAGCAGCGCGGCGCCGGATATATAATAAGCCGTCAAAGAATCGGACCGATTACGAGTAGGTACAAGACGCGTTGTTCGGTTGCCAGCGCGCGAAGCGAAGCGTTGCCGCTCCGAGTTAACGAGTCAGCTAGGTAAGAAATTTCATGAATGAATTTTTGCGAATCTCAATTTTAGTTACTTTTTTATTATTAAGTTAAGTTAAGTTTGTTGAACTTTTTTTTTCAATATAAGAGTTATGTTAACCTATCAAAATTAATATGATTAATAGGCACTAGCCCTACCAATGTATTATATTAAAGTCACCATTGTAGCGGCCACGTTGTATAACACTTTTTTGGTCCGTCGAGCCGGATTAATATATTCTAGTTAGTGTTTCTCGTGTTTAAAAAGTATTGCAGTATTACGTACACATTTGTTTAACCTAAGTATTGCTCAATATTAAATACAAATACAAATATGATACAAAATGAAACAAAAACTTAATTAAATGTAATGCAATACATCAAATAAATATTACTTACCAACAGCATCATTGACTACATCAACTTCCCCACCAATGATTTTTCTAAGGGAATAGTTCAATTCTGTAGGCAATTCCTCATCAATGTACTGAAGATTTCTGTCAGAGGGTCCAGAACCTAATAAAAGAAACTAACATCAGGATATATCATGTCTCCCCGCATTGTTCAATGTTAATCTATATACTTATAATATAGTTATTCCATTTCTAGAACTATGTGGACATACCAACGTCCCGCGTTGCTCACGTATGTGGTATGTGGTATATGGTGTGTGTGTGTGTGTGTGTGTGTGTGTGTATGTGTGTGTGTGTGTTTTTTAGGGTTCCGTACCTCAAAAGGAAAAACGGAACCCTTATAGGATCACTTTGTTGTCCGTCTTTCTGTCTGTCCGTCAAGACCCTTTTTCTCCGGAACGCATGGAGGTATCAAGCTGAAATTTATATCAAATACTCAAGTCTACTGTCCCTTGGAACTGCGTAAAAATCAGACTTCTAAGCCAACGAAATCAAAAGATACAGCCGTTTATGCCGCAAATTTTCGACATTCGCAAGGGAATCAAAACCTACAGGGTACTTCCCGTGAACTCAGAATCTTAAAATTTGGTACGAAGCAACGTATTATAGCACAGATAAAGGAAAAATTGCGAAAAGCATAAATTTTTAGTTACATCATATTTTAAACTCATATACCTATGGATTTGTTCGGAACCCTCGGTGCGTGTGGCAAACTCGTGTCTTTACCTTTCTTTCAAAACTTACCAATGATCCTGTCTTTTGCATCAGAGTATTGCTTGGTAAGGTTTCCTAACTCTCTGATGATATCCAATTCCTCATTTTGCCTATAGAACACACCATTAGGACGTACGCCTCGTATACTGTCTATGCTTTTAAATCCTGCAAAAAAAATGTTTATATTTTAATGGCTTAAGCCGGCCACACATTGTAAGAAATTTGCCGGACCGACCGTCCTCTTCTAACGCTCACCGAAAGCGAAAGCATGACAACCTGACGTCACAAATTTCTTGTCGCTGCACTTCATCAGAATTTTAATAACTGAGATGGAAAAAAAAATACACTTATGGAATACTGGTGATAAAAAGGATTGCCGTAACGAAATTTCTGTCTGTGTGCGGGGTATGCAGATGATCGTCCAACGCGCGTTAATAATTTTCTGACAGAATTTTTTTTAACATTATGTGGGTCGGCGTTACACTGGTATAAAACAGTTTTCATCCTTTGCAGTGAAATTAAATAATTAATAGAATCAGGTGTTACTTTGCGGAAATCCATTATTATATTAAAGATATTAAAAATGAACAAGCTAAGATCCGCGTATTAAAATAAATTGATGTGTTACCTAATGTAATGTTCTTCAGACAGAATTTCGGTAACGGCAGGTCTCAAAGGCGACTAGCCATCTGCGCAGCACAGGATTATATTGCCAGAGTGTATGCGCAATAACAAATGCACTCTGGCGCTCTTTTTATACGTGGTAGAGCCATACTGCAGCTATATTAGTAGAATAGTTGTAGCACGAATGAGTCAGCTCAACCGGGAAAGGACCACGCATACAAAATACCTGCGTAAAATAGCAGCTTAATACTGCTGTGCTTCGTATGGTGATTATAGAGAACAGAAGACCCTTTTCAATGGAAAAGATTCATTCCATCTTAGTCCTCACGGGTGACAACGCATCTGCATTTTAATTTTTTATTGAGGATAGATGTAGATGTCTATGGGTCATAGCAACCACTTACTATCAGGTGGACTGTGTGTTCATTTGTCACCCTATCCTATAAAAAAAAAAAAAAACTCTCTATTCCCTCACTCTCATAGTCCGATGGAACGGCAAACGGAGAATTTCTTGACAGAATAATTCAGTTTTGTGGGCCCGATCCGAAATTCGGACTCGGAACCTCATAATCAGCGATCGCGTTTACGACTAAAAGACCATAGAGGCAATTTAAAAAAAAACTCCCCAGCACTTTGACGGGTCGATAAAAAGAAAGATACATCACGATGTTTATCTTAGTAGCTGCTGTCAAGCTTACAAATCTATTGTATTTTTAAAGGGTCTCTTACCATCCAAATACTTCTTGATAGGAGCTTCCATGCCCCTTTCTCTCTCGGCGGCGTGGTAGTGACATGGTCCTTTGATCAGTACCGATGCAAGTATATATAGCACATCATGGCGCCGTTCCCTTCTAGCAACTGCTTCCAGTCGACTGATGGCTGCTACATCTTCTGGTACTAAACGTAAGGCCGCGAAGCCAGGGTACGGTTGTAAATTTAGTAGACTGTATACTAAGAATAGACCGGCTACTGACTCCTAGTAGAGAAAAGTATTATATCTATAATAATTATGGTTTGATTAATGTGAGACAAAGGTAGTTTCCTGGTTGATTTCGGCCACAATGACCACTCATGATTCACCACAATGATGAGAAAGGAGAAAAATGATGAGGATAGTGTGCGGCAAGTATATTTGAAAAGACTCAAGCAATGGGTTTTTTTTAATTTACCAGTGTAAGAGAAAATAATTTCAAATACCTATCCCAATTGTAACCCAGTATTTGAAATAATGCCATAATCTTTTTTTATTCAAACCGTGTAATGGCGGTGTAATAATATCTACTACCGTGATACCGTGGGTGTCGATAAGAGGCGACAGAGGGAAACAAACCAGGAGCAGCGGCTTGCTAATATCATTTAGAATATGTAAAACTACCAAACCACTTGCGAAGCGTGGCAAATATAAGAGACAATCTAAGGAGGGCCTATGTTCAGCAGTGGACTTTAATAGGAATGTAATAAACGAATGGATTTTATTCGGAGTTTTGGCGGGAACTTGACCGGCGACGGATTGCTGCTCTTGTATTATTGTTTAAATAATGGTTTGAAGCGGATTTTGATATGTGAAAGCAGTGCAATTTTGTGTATTGTCTGCGCATGTGAACTATTAGTGGAAACGGTGAAACAAGTGCTCTGATGGTGATGTGATTCTCAAGATAAGGTGTCAGTCTGCTTAGGCGCCTTGAGATGCCATCGCCAATTGTCAGTTGTCTGCTGGCTCAAGTTGCCGTCAAAATCTCCTCTTCACATATTGTGAAGCAGTGTACTATGAATGATAATTATACATTGTAACTTCAGGCTCAGAAGGGCTAGAACCTAGAGCCATAAGCCAGTTATAAAAAAATGGATTTTATTCGCAAGTTTGTATGTTGAGTAAACATAAAACTGGTGTGTAGATCAATTTAGTGGGCTTTCCCTTAAATTTCTTATAAATTCATATTAAAAAAAATCATAAGGGCATTTTCTGGCCTATGTTCTGCAGTGGATTTTGATGTTAGGTTTTTTACAGCCTATTGATGCCAGGTCTATGTTCACTGCAGAACATAGACGTCCCCATAGAATTACTCATAAGTGTTTTGTCATCTTTGCCAGGCTTGGTAGGCGGGTTATCAACCACAATACCAGAGGTCTTGCACCTTTATGCTCTGCTTTGGGTTTCATCCGGTTTTTAATATGAGATGAATACATTACCATTTATCGGAAGCTATGAAGTTTTTCTGGCCTTACCCGTAGTCACCTTTTACATCGCCTAAAGGATGATATTGGGATGATGGCACAACCCGAAAAGCAACACACTTAAACAATGCAATATTTCTTATAGACTTTTAGGTTGCTTAACTAGGCATACCTCATAGTTGCTTGTATTTGCAATCATATAATGTTTTGCTATATGCAAGACTTCCTCTGACAGCTCTGCTACTTCTGCGCCGGAAGTTCTGCCTCTACAATGAATATTTAAATGACATAAGTATTTACTTACATTGATCAAAAAATTATTCACAGATGTATCATCCGGCTCGAAGGATCATGTAAGATTATTTATTACTGCAGGGTAGTTTCAAGAATGTACACCGGTCTACTTGTCAAGGCATTGCATGAAATTACACAACAATATTGCTAGGTTTTGTATTCCAACAACATAAACATGTATATTATTGTATATACCTACAAACAATGATGTATCTTTATTTCTGTACAAACATTGCTTTAGTAAAATTCACTTATTAATGTAAGATTTGCATATACGTTTAGGGATGTTCCGATACTATCAAACTATCGATACCTACTCATATCAGTAATACTCTAATCATTTTTCAATACTACTCATACAAATACTCCTAATGTATCGATAACTACTGATATCGATACTTTTAGATTTTAGAAATTAATGTAGCAAATGTTTCAAGCCCCGCATCGATCTATTCTGCCCTGCCACTTTAGATAACATCGCATAGACCAATGAACTAACGAACTATTATGAACCTAACTTAAGTACCTAACCTAACTAAATTAATTAGTGAAAAGTTGAAGATCCTACCTATCGTTTGTCCCTTTATCTGCTTTTTTTGTAATTTGCCTTTATCCACAGTAATTCCATGAGTTTTGGAATGCTTGAATAAATTAGACGTATTGCCACAATATTTCACCGACTTAAAACATTGTTTACATTTTGCTTTTGTTTCATTTGTTTTGGTAAAATATGACTACAATAACTTAAATTACTCGTAACGTAATCGTAAAGAATAACTTGTGGAATGCTGAACACTGCTAGTGCTGCCTGGACCAGTGACAATTTTAGTGTAATGGCAGCTCTCTCTTTCGGTTTCGGCTCGGATGAAGTAGGACGAATTCGGCTTGCCTGATTCGATACCAAGTACTTTTGTTTCGATACCGAGTAAGTATCGCAAGATTGATTCGATGCTATTAGTACTTGGTATCGAATCAAAAGTATCGAGTACCTACTCGCATTTACTAGTATTGGAATGTCCCTATATACGTTTATAATTTAATACCGCCGTTGTAGCTCAGGGGGTTAGCGCTCGACAAAAATATCATAGTAAGCAAGCAATCCAGGTTCGATACTTGCCAGCACTAATGAAATTGTTAATAGCAGTTATAAGTGCGGATTCACATGCTTTATCGTAAAGGTAAACATTGCGAGGAAACAGACATGTCTGAAAAAACCATTGACCACCTTGTAATCAATAAACAAACATAATGTCATATTTAACTAATTGAAGGCTCTTGTTAGAGAGCATGGCTGAAATGCATGCGTTTACTAGCGTCGTTTGAGAAAGGAATAGTCTTAGTATAGAGCAGTAAGAAGCTAATGCGCACACACTCACTCTCATACAGTGTACACTATACTTTAGAGAAAATGTGTACTAAAAAATGTGCCGAAAAATTTCCAAACAGACCCTTAGGACAAATTGATCTTTTTTTTTAAATTCTTACCAGCGAAAAATATACATACTTCAACGGCAATTGTTGTGTTTTGTAAAAATTGCCAATGCTTCATAAAAATATATATACTAACAAAACACTTACTGATAAAGACATCCCATATTCATTTCCTGCCAAACAATGCAAAATGACTGGAAGTCCAATATGTTCTGTCTTTGCAAACATCTTTGTATCAATTGTTCACAATCATCTAGGAAGCCATCAGCAATGTACACATGGTGTATAGGATTTCGACCTTAAAATAAAGATAAATAATGAAAGACATTCATTTATACCCATAAAATATGCACTTAGTCATAAAGTTGTGAAAGCCTGTGATCCTGTGACAATGTATTTGCATGTAGAGATTTTTTAACCGCCCCTCCCCAACTTCTGCCCAATTTAAATATTGGAACAATTTTGATTCAAAATTTTTGAACTAAGGCAAAAAATTAAGAAGTTGCTCAGTCAAAATTTCCTTATTTATATGTTTTGTCTTTTGATAAATATACATTATATAAATATATATTGTTGTTAGAATTTTATCATTTTGAACAAATTTATCAATAAATTATTTTAGTTATTTTGTACAGACAAACAGTATTCAAGTTAGTTAATTGTATTTTATAATTGAACTTCTTATTAGTGTACTATAAAAGTACTTACACATTTTTATGGTTTTTGAATACCTAACTTAGAAAATCTATTCATTTATGTATTCTGTAAAAATAATTGAAGTTAGAGAAACACCTTCAGCAAGAAAGATCAAGATAACGATCACGTTGATGGAATTATAAAACATACGATGCCAAACACAATCAAAATTTATATTTTTATGATTTGAATTGAAGCAAAACAAAAATTGACAATTACTATTTACTAACATACTATAGGTATAGGGTATAGGGTTGGGGAAAATATCGATATATCGGTATTTTAGGCATTATCTTTTATTTCGATACATCGATATAAAATAAGTATCGAAGATGTATCAGTTACGATATATTTCCAATAACAACACCGTTGTCGTCAGTGACTAAAACCATAGATAAATAAATATGTAGCAAGCTAACTAAAACCACTGGAATGGGTCTAGTCACCCAATTTTGTTAAGGGTATCAAAAAATTGTAAAAAAATTACGAATTCAACGATATTCTTATTTTTTTTCTACCTTAAAAGATGACTGAAATATTGATGAGTGAAGTGGTGTTTTACGGTAAGGGTGACCGCTTTGCTCTGTATCGTGATATGACGTCACAAATCGACACGTCAAAGCCACCAGTAGTCTTTATTGTTATATTTTTCTTATTCTCTCCATATTTATTACTCCATGTTTTTCTTGTCATGTTATTTATTTATCAGTAACCTTTATTTTCTGTTTTTTTTTATTTCTGTTATATCACGCTCCTTGGGAATAAAAGTCCGATATGAGAAGATAAAATCCTGTAGATCATATTATACCTGTATGCAAAATTTCATCAAAATCAGTTTAGTATTACACGCATTGAACTGTGGCGGCGCTATCGTCACGCCACAAGCGAAAACACATCAAAGCCTAAATCGTGCTAACAAAGTTCCGAAATTAAAACAGTATATATCGAATAGCTCCGAACTACCAATCGGAGCGTTGGCCGCTCCCCGGGCAGAACACCTGGCCCGACGGAAGATCACTCCTTTTCCTTCCACCGGCTACTGTGGTGACCCCGACGTGATATGAACACACAACCAACAAAACTTCGGAAACTACACCTTCAAACCTTCATCATCCTCAAGTACCCCATTCATTCGCTCCCGAGCAGATATTGTCTGCAGTCTTCACATTCTGCAAGCCATTTAGCTTTACAGAGGTTCATCGCAGCTCTGGAATAATAATGCTTCCTGTTCCTTCAAGCTTCTCTCTGCGCTACAGAGTTCGGCACGGCTCTGAGCGTTACTGCTCGCCTCTGCTTCACGGCACTCTCACAGATTACATGTCTTCTTCTCGACTCACCGCAGACTACAAGACAATTCCCTGACACTTGCAAATTCGTCGACATCTAGACTGCACTATCGACCTTCGGTCTGAGCAGGGGGGTGATGTGGCGGCGCTGTCGTCGCGCCACAATCGGAAACACATTGAAGCCTAAATCGCGGTAACAAAGTTCCGAAATTAAAACATTATATATAGAATAGCTCCGAACTACCATTCGGAGCGTTGGCCGCTCCCCGGGCAGAACACTTTGCCCGGCGGGAGATCTCTCCTTTTCCTTCCTACGGCCACAGAACGTTTGCAACCATTGCATTTTCTAAACGAATAGGTACCAACTACCAACGTAATACCGCAATCAGTTTATTCAAAAGTAAGTCAAAGTAAAACTAGGACCGTATGTTTGCAACCACTGACGAACTACGTAACCAACAAAATTTCTTTACGTGTCACTAGGTACTAAATAACAGTACGAGTTGATTAATACTCACTGCATTAGTAAATATAAGTAAGTTTTTTCATTTTATGTCGTTGTAAATCATGTGCAACTTCGTGGTTCGGTCAGTTAATACCTACCTACCTATGTATTACTGCCTAGTTACTAATCAATGGTAAAGCTGCATACTTTTCGTAATCTTTTATCAGTAACTTACCTTTAGAGCTTTATTCCACGCATTCCTGATGATAAAAAATCATAATTTTCTGATAAATACTGCGCAACCATAAAAATATCCACTTTTGGCAGATTATCTGACTGTCATTTTTCAAAGCCCGCTTCCATTTTCTTTTTTTTTTCAGTACTACACACCGTGATTATACATATAAATATAATCATATAAAAGCTAAATGTCCAATAAGTTAGTTTATAAATCAAATCAAATAGTTTAATTGTGATTCACAGTTTACAAAAAGGTCTTATTTAAACACAAATAAAGTTCAATCTGTGATCAGACTCATGGGCATACAAATGTCAAATATTATTAATAGTTCATTGATTACATTATTCATAATAATAGATTAGATTAAAAATTATTCATAAATTATTAGTTCAAAATTATTATATAGTCGTTGCGTTTATTATAAGTATTATGTCATGTAATACAGTCAACCGGATATTAACTCTGAAATTCAATTCAATATTATAATATGTAGGTAAATGACCATATACCTACTTCTTTGGTTAATACTGAACAAAGAGTATAGTAACTGTCCTATACAGGAACTGGTACTGAACTTAGCAAGTACCTACTGCGCGTTCGCTCTGTCGAATTGTGACATCACGTCCCAGAGAACGAGCAGGTAAAAATTAAAAGAAATTGCGCAACATCAAAACGTTATAGCTTTCATATTTCTTCACCAATTCGGATGAAATAAAAACTATTGTTATTTTCATAAATATAACTTTAAAGCTATATAGGTAGTATTTTCAAATTAGCACATGTTGGTGTGACCCATTCAGATAATCCATTAAAATTTTGGACTTAACAGCCGCCACTTCACCAGTCATAACGCTAAATTATTTGGTACCTTCTGCATCCTCATTTTCATTAGAGAGAGTGTCATCAAGTGTTAAACCAAAAAACTAATGTATGCTGATCTTGCATTAGTAGACAGTCACTGGTACTTGGAGGTCCACTTACACTGAAAGTTTTTTAAGGTCATTGGCATTATAAATGAAAAAAATCGAAAACTGCGAAGCTGTATTCGGGTCGCTAATCAAATAATAAAACTCTAACTATGGCGTCAGTAACTAGGTACCTAATTATCTAGTTGTACCTATAAATAATAATATCTTACCTTTCGGTATCTTTAGGAACAGGAAAGAATAAACGGTCGACAGTCGTATTGTTATTTAAGCACTCGTATGCTATGCAGTATGTTATATCAATCTCTTCCTAATAATTTGCAATAAGAGATGACCTCGATACAGCTGACGCTGCCCAAGTGTGTCGCAACCCGTACACAACATGATCACCGCTGCTAACTCTGCACCCCAATTGACGTCAATGCGCGTTTACCGAAATTCAACATTTTTATTGTATAGAATCAAACCGACCATTCTGTATCTAGCATCGATCAGACTTGGACTTAAGTTTCATTGTAAAATTAGTTTTTATTAAATTTATTAAAATAATTTTGTTTTTTTTTTTTTGGGTCCTCCGGCTGTGGTTCCTATATTTAGTACCTTTTGACTTTTTGAGAGGCCGTACTTGAATAATAACTCAGAAATAAACATCGAAAGTGCCTAAATACTTATAAGAGAAAAATATTTTTTTGTTAATGTAAGGCGCGCGTCATTTCGAGCGCGCGCCTGACAACCTCAAGGAATTAGCCCCTTGTATGGAGCCTCGAAGGGTAAGTATATTTTCATGCCTAAAGCGCGGAGTGAGACAGGCCTGGTAATACTGAGAAATTTATTAACTAGACTAGTAAAATAAACACAATAAAAATTCATAAAGTACAAATATATCTTAGAAAAATTCGCCGATATATCGTTATTTTTTTTCGATACATTGATATCGATATTATATATTATAAACTCCTTGGTCATATCAGATCTTCGAGCATAGAATTTTCTATGCTTGAAGCATCTGATCAGATAGTAAGGAGTTTTGGCGGGAACTTGACCGGCGGCAGTTTGCTGCTCTTGTATTATCAATTAAATAATGGTTTGAAGTGGATTTTTGTGTGATTTTGTGTATTAAGTGTCTGCGCATGTGAATTATTAGTGGAAACAGTGAAACAAGTGCTCTGATGGTGATGTGATTCACAAGATAAGGTGTCTGTTTGCTTAGGCGCTTCGAGATACTATCGCCAACTATCAACTGTCTGCTGGCTCAAGTTGCCGTCAAAATCTACTAAGTGCTGCACAATGTGACGCATCAACATATTGTTAAGCAGTATACTATGAATGATAATTATACATTGTAACTTCAGGCTCAGAAAGACTAGAACCCAGAGCCGTAATGCCGGTTGTAAAAAAAACAGATAGGAAGGTTTTTAAATTATTTAAAGGCAGAGGGAGCTTTACCCATACAGCCTATTCTGACGTGTAAAACGGGTCTGACGTGTTGAAAACTCTTGAAGAGCTCCGGTGGAGTAAATCGCACAGCGATGGACTGCCAATCATCCAGATGGTATGGGTGGCATCGTAACTTTTGTCGCGATGTGTGTTAGTGAAAAATAGCGACTGGAATTAATCCGAACAATTCCTCTTAGCATTTCCCGTGATAAATGCGACAGAAATTGCAAAGAGATGCAACATCTCTTCGCTGTGTAGAAGAGAACAGTATTTTATGCGAGACTGAACTTACCCCTTGTAAAGTTGCAAGTGGCGTGCTGGCTTGAAGTAAAATCCTGCTCTGCTAAGCAAGCCAAGCCCTTCCAAGTAACTGCAGTACTGTACGATAGCCTGGTGGTAAGTATCGACCGCCGCCCATAAGCAACTGCAACACCAGGGGAATTGCAGGTGCGTTGCCTGCCTTTTGAAAAGGAGTAAGTTAGTTTCCTGAAGGTCCCTAAGTCATATCGGTCCGGAAAAATCGCCGGTGGTAGACAATTCAAGCACTTGCTGTAAATTTCACAGTACGCGTGCAACGCGGGTTCGATCCCCGCCAACACCAATGAAATTCTTAGTTGCAATTTTAAGTAATTTACCATGTGCTCGACAGTGAAAGGAAACACCGTAAGGAAACCAGCATGTTTAAGAAATGAAAAAAAAAATATTTCGAAGACTTGAAGTTCACAAATACGCATGGGGGCAGTACGGCGGACATTTCCTTGCCCTAAAACCCTCTTAGAAATGAGAGGAGGCCTGTGCCCAGCCATGGGACGTATATAAGCTGTAACTTTAAACAATTCTACAGAGAAGTTGTGCGAGGAAGAAAACACCTAGTAAATCACACAGTAGTGGAACGCCAAGCATCCAGATTATGTGGATGGTAACGTGGATCGTAACGTGAGTTTTGACACGATGTGCGTTGGTAAAATTTGACGGCTGGAATAAATCCGAACAATTCCTCAGAGCATATAAATGCTATACAAAATGTAAAAGGATGTAACATCTCTTTGCATCATCAGTGAATCGAGCTACTCTAATCGAGATCAGAGAAAACTCGGTCGTCAACGATTCGGGCCGCTCTGCGCTGGATGCGGTCAAGTGGAAGCAGTTAGCATTGGGGAGCTCCGATCTAAAAATGAGATAAATGTTCCACGTGAGTCGAGATCTGCGCCTTGTAAAGTTACAAGCGGTATGCTGGTATGAAATACTGTCCCGCTCTGCTGTGCACGCCCAACTTTTTAGAGGCCAATTTTGCTTTACCCTCCAAGTGACGACGCTGGCTGAAAACTAGGGGAGTACCCTGTAACTGGGGAGATACGACAAAGGTTTTTTTAGCGGTAAACGCACAAACTCGTATCTTCTGGGAATTGAAATGGATTAGATTTAGACGACCCCGATCTGGGACTTTGTTCAACAAAGACTCGATGACTGAACACAAGTTTGTTCCGGTACCTACTCGACGACGTGTTCGCGAGAAATATAGGAACGGCCGGTGTAAAAAGCATCACCAGTGCTCTTAGAGTATTAAATGAATACTCTAAGCCAGTGCTATTTGCATGAAGTAACACTGATTGCAGAAGAAACGTTATTAGCGTAGGTAGTAACGTTTCTTCGAGTAATAACGTAATTCAACCTTGTGAAATACCAGCATTAATAGGCTTGAAATCGGAGCATGCACCGACTACTATGATCTTGATGCCCCGAGCTGCAAGAAAACTGGTGATTCAATTGTATAATTTCTCGGGAAGCCCATAGGAAGAAAGCTTCGAAAGAAGCGCTTTGTGCCAAACCCGACCGAAGACCTTCGCAATGTCTAAACTAATGGCCAGGGAATCTCCTTTGGACTCTACTATTTCCGCCGATCTATGAGTCAGATAGACCAGATCACCAGCTGATCGACTCTGACGAAAACCGTATTGGCGACCACTAATCCAGCTGGTGATCCTCTAGGTACCTCATGAGCTGGCAGTTAATAATCATCATCATTACAGCCCTTCACAAGTCCACTGCTGAACATAGGCCTCCCCCAAGGAATGCCACAAAGCACGGTCCTGAGCCATCTGCATCCGTCAACTTCCTGCATGTCTTACCAGGTCGTCACTCTATCTAGTGGGGGGGACGCCCTACACTTCGCCTACCGGTACGAGGCTGCCACTCGAGAACCTTTCTTCCCCATCGGTTGTCGGTTCTTCGAGCTATATGGCCGGCCCACTGCCACTTCAGCTTACTAATCTGTTGGGCTATGTCGGTTACTCTGGTTCTACTGCGGATATCCTCATTCCTAAGTTTATCACGCAGAGAAACTCCGAGCATAGTCTTCTCCGTAGCTCGCTGAGTGACCTTGAGCTTCCTTATCCGGCCAGCAGTGAAGGACCACGTCTCAGTTCCATAAGTCATCACTGGCAACACGCACTGGTTGTACAGTCTTGTTTTTAAGTTTTGAGGTATACCTGACGAGAAGATAAGTTTCTTACTCTGGTTCTGTACTCGGATAGCCATCGTAGCCCTACTATACAAGCATTTCAGCACTTCGATATACCGATAGTCATAGGCAGTTAATAATGGTTTCCATTATTTTGGAGAAAAGGAGATGCGAGTGATATGCCTGTAGTTGGACGGGTATGAGCGGTTAGGATCAGGTGCACCAAAGCTGTCTTCCACGAGTTCGGCACTACGCCTAAGGAGTAAGAGTTCCGCAAAACACGCGCTAAAAATATGTCCGTACTCCATGAAATTAATACGACGCGATTATTATTAACACGTTCATGCGAACAACGTATATGTACGTCACATATTTGTAGATATGATGTGGCACAACGTATTATTACGTTCAGCAATAGCTCGATTTATTGAGCACAACGTTATGGTACGGTGTCTGGCCATACTAATGTTTTAAAATTGTAGTGCCACATCGCACCGATTTTTTTTGGCTTCTTAGATGACGTTCCTCCCTGATACTAAGTACCCACTTTGCTAGCGCACAACGTCACTATACGTCGTTTCGCAAAAGAAGTTTCATTACATCAGTCGACTTGTGCGCGTCGCGGGGCTAGTGCGTGCGCCAATGTTATGTTCACATGGAATATTGACGCTAAACGTAAGTATTTTATTATCTTACTACGATATATATATCATATAAAAACATTTCACTTTATTGTATTGTAATAAGTCTGAATATGTTCAAAATACATATTTTGTATTTTTTTGTTTGTTTTAGATATATAAAATGAGCTAAAAAAAAGGACTCTTCAATGAAAATCTATGAGCTTTCTTCATCCCGGGAAACCACGCCAGTCCCTTTTGTTAACGATGTAGAGTTTGGATCAGATGCTGATTACGGCCCAATTGGTGATAATCATGACGACAGCTCCTGTGACATAGGCATTTCGCAGTTTGAGTGGGACAAACAGCGCAATAAGTCATTATTGCATGTCAAAAAGAGTACTTGTTCCAATTTACGATCTGGTTCTGTTGTTAGATCTACATCGGATTCTGCATCAGAAAATTCTTATAACACCACAGACTATTCAGAGTATTCTAGTTATGAAAGCATTTTTGACTATCATAAACGAAAATGTAGTGACGTCTTAGGACGTCAGTGCAATATATTTCAATACTAATATTATCAGTTATTGCACAGCGTCATTAGACGTCGCTTTAGTTTGTATGAAAAAATTATATGCAATATCACATAGAGCTACTATATTGAAGTGTGTGCATGAACGTGTTAAAATATATTTGTTAAGCCGTGTAGTAGCGGCGCAAGGGAATCTACTATCTCAGTCATATACTTGAGTGGGTATCGTAAGAGGCGACAGGGGGACACTGAAACAGAACATTGCCAGCAGTGTTTCCCCGGTTTTAAGTATGGGGAATATTTATCACACTGTGCGCTATGTATAATCTATGAGAGAGGCCTATGTTCAATAATGGACTGGGCTGGCTATAATGAGGATGATTCAAAAAACTAGATTTATATTTAAAAATACTTAAATCAAAATATTATCATAATATTGTGGGAAAGTTTTTTTTCCATTACAGCCTACTTGCCTCATAAGGGGATTTTGACATAGTTGCCATGCTTACGATACCGGGGTTACAGGGTAGAGGATAATCTTACATCGTCACTACATGGTTAAATAGTTGCACTGATTTGGTGCAAAACTTCTGGAATAAAACACTGGTCATATGCTTACGATTATTTATTATTGATCTGTTCGAATATGATTTTAGAATTCAAAACTAGCGCATCTTCAAACTGTTATATCTTTCATACGTGGCGTATATCAAGGAACAATGTTACAACAAAATGCTGTGCGGTCCTTAAGATGCTTTTTATTGCAGCATTTATTACAATAATCACTACTATAACGTTAAACTAAAAACAAACAGCGCTTAGAGTGGTGTCTTCTCGATTAATTTGTACCAATGGCCGCACTCACAGCGGCGAGGGTGATCCTGTAAAAAAATTGTTTACATTTTCTTAAAATCAGTATGTAAAGCCGTTGTTTTTTCATATTAATATTTTATGTTAGGTTCAAAATATTATCATAAAAAATAACGCAATTGCAGAAAACTAGCATCAATGGCGCAGGGGGATTTTAAGGAGCAGCATTATGGGAACAATAGTCAGATTCTCAGTCTTTCATGCATGTGATAGTTGCCTATTCTAGTGCATCTCATTTACTTAAGCAATCTTTAATTAGCTGCTTAAGATGTAATAGCCTATTTAAGCATATGTACACAAGCATTTCCTGTTGTAAATGTACTTAACCATGCTAAATCAATAGATACGTTTAGACATGTTGAATATCAAAGAATGTGAAAGTTGAATCAACTCATAAGGAATTAGATGTCTATGTATCTGCATACTAAATAATCATTAATTTATTTTGACATATATCCAAATATCCATTAATGGAATCCATAATTAATGGAATTTCATTCTAAGGATGATTATACTAGACTTAAAAATGGTGTTGCAATTGTTCATGGGCGGCGGTAGTCACCATCAGGTGAGCCGCATGCTCGTTTGCCCCCCTCTCCTATAAAAATAAATAAATAATCGAAAATGTCGATTTTAGAAGGGGTGGCGAGAAATATAACATTTCTCGCTTTTACTTTCCCACTTTTGAATATTGGATTATTGAAGTATTTTTATGAGAGTTAATTGACGGGACGAGCAGATGGCCCTGCATATAACATCATTAATACAACCTAAATCTTCCCTAACTTGAGTAAGGAAAACCCAAGGTCGCATTGTATAGCATTCATCACTCTGAGACAAGAAATTCTAGAAGAACATCTCGTGCCTGTAATTTCACCGGCACCCAAATAATATTCAAACATGAGCAAGAAATTTGTGATTTTTTGTAAGTTTACATAATATAGTTTCAAATTAATTTTAATTCAAAGTTATGTCATCATCAATCAGTCAAGGGTGAGAAATCTATTAGACACCCATGTACTTTGTTCCTCTGCATTTGTTCTGGAAGAATTAATACTAATTTAAGACCTTATATTTGATCTGCGTACATTACCACACAGATGTCACATGCTCCTTTTTGCGGGTCTCTGCACTCCCCACTTTGAAAGCCTCTGCTACTCAACAACTAAAAAGCTGTCAACATAGTGCTGTATGTAGCAATAAACATATCATGATGTTTAGCCTGACCAAGCCAGGATTTCAGTGTTGATGCATTAGTACCAAACCATCACAAAACCCTCTAATAGTTTATGGAAGGAATTTTATTAAACGAAAATCAATTACAAATTTACCTTGTGTACCCAAAGCCAATTGATTGCTGTGGAGTGTTCTTCACCTGAAAATGAAAACGAATATTAATATGCCGTAAGCTAGGCTATCATTACTATTACAGCCCTTCACAAGCCAACTGCTGGACATAGGCCTCCCCCAAGGAAAGTCACAAAGCACAGTCCAGAGTTATCTGCATCCATCGACTTCCTGCATGTCTGACCAGGTCGTCGCTCCATCTAGTGGTGGGCAGCCCCACACTTCGCCTACCAGTAAGAGGCTACCACTCGAGAACCTTTCTTCCCCATCAGTTGTTGGTCCTTCGAGCTCTATGGCTGGCCCATTGCCACTTCAGTTTACTGATCCTTATCAGGCAGACTAATCAGCTAGGCTATACCAAAGTTATATTATGTAATAATATATTTATTATGGTTTGGGAATTCCCGACAATTCCAAAGTCCCGGGACACGGGACTGCCTATAATCAAAGTACCGGGAATTCCCGGGACTTCGAGACTTTTAAGAAAAAGCTTTTTTGTTTTTTTAAGATGGGTAAGCCTGTTTTGAAGAATTATAATTGAGTTAATTTCTGGTGAAACGTATTAAAAAGAGGCAATTTTTTGTAAAAATCAACATTTATTAAACAACTAGCTGACCTGGCAAACGTTTTTTACCATATACTTTATTTCTAGGAAATATTTTTTGCTTTTAATAATCGCGATTAAAAAGCATGGATTGATCGTAGAAGGGTGAAAATTTGAAGTTTTATGTATTTTTTACAGCTAAATCATAATAAAATAAAAAATTGTCAAAAAAATAAAAAATAAATATTTAGGGGTGGGTCACCTTTATCATTTAGGGGTTTGAAAAATAGATGTTGGCCGATTCTCAGACCTACCCGATATGCACACAAAATTTCATACAAATCCGTTCAGCCCACAGATGCACTTCTAAACAGTTAAATCTTATAGTTATGAAACGAACTTAGTTAAAAATCATACTAATTTTTAATAACTTTACTATTATCTAGTAATTCTAGTACCTAATCATAGTTTATAATCTCATTGTTAATTCTCATAATTTTTTTTTATAGGATAGGGTGACAAACGAGCACACAGTCCATCTGATGGTAAGTGGTTACTGTGACCCATAGTCATCTACATCTATCCTCACTAAAAACTCATAATGCAGATGCGTTGTCACCCGTGAGGACTAAGATGGAATGCCTCCTTTCCAGTAAAAGGGGTCTCCGGTTCTGTACACTCACCATACGAAACACAGCAGTGTTAAGCTGCGATTTTATGCTGGTATTCTGTGAGAGCGTGGTCCTTCCCCGGTTGAGCCGACCCATTCGTGCTACAACTATACTACTAATATAATCACATATTAGTTTCATTTATTGTGTTGCATACTCAGTAGTTACTTAGTAGACCAAGTAATTTTTCATTAAACTAACACATGGCGCTAGGCTCCTTCAATTATTTGAAAATAAAAATGATTACATAATAATTTCGACAATCTTGTCTCGTCTCGAGTCTCGACACGAAAGTCCCGGGACTCGAGAGAACTAAAATTACGAAAAGTCCCGGGACTTCGAGACACGAGATGTCCCGTGACCCAAACCCTAATATTTATGTAACAGAGAACTCACTGTACTGAAATACATATTATATGTATATTAATTCATTCATCAACTTATCAAACTTCTACTGCTGAACATAGGCCTTCTCCATCGATTGTCTCATAGGAGGGACATTTGTCATATCTCAAACTGCTATATATCTTATGATAAGACAAAAGGAAATATCAAAATTTCCCTAGTTTCAGGTAAATATAATTCTGCTTACATTTGTTTATTTCAAACACACCCACATATAATAACTGTTCTGTTCTGTGTTCGAAATAAACTAAAATAAAATTCATAAATAAATATGCATATGCATAACACAATAATTGTATTTGATATTTATTTGCTTTCTTTTCATACTTTTCTTCTTTCGAAATAATTATGCAACCTGCTAGTTTGAAGGGTAGTACTCATTATCCACATTGTCAGACACATGATATATTGTCAATGTAGGGTTCTGCACACCTTACTAAAATAGCCTATAGCATATCTGAAAACTAAATAAGCAGCCTCCTCACAAAAACTCAGGTAATCAAAATCTAACAATGCTAATTAAACTTTCAAAATTATCTTAATCTTTATAAATTATTCCAGTGTTTGCATACACATTTGTGGCACAACAGTATGTCTTGAGCAGTTAGTAGTTTATTTTTATATAACAACTAGCTGACCCCGCAAACGTTTTTTTGCCATATACATTATTTCTAGGCAATATTTATTAGTTTTAAAAATCGCGAATAAAAAACAGGGGTTGATCGTAGAAGGGTGAAAATTTTATGTATTTTGCAATGCTAAATCATAATTAAAAAAAATTAAAAAAAAATATTTAAGGGAGGGTCACCCTTATCACTTAGGGGTTTGAAAAATAGACGTTGGTCGATTCTCAGACCTACCCGATATGCACACAAAATTTCATACAAATCGGTTCAGCAGTTTTGGAGGAGTTCGGTAACAAACACTGCAACACAAGAATTTTATATATTAGATTATTATAGTTTAATATCATACAGAGTTGACAGGTTTGATGTCATAAAGAGATATTGGATAGATTTGACAGTTAAAAACAATGTCTGGAGCTGGAGTACCATCACCTAGACCTAATTCAGAAAGTTACCAATTTGTAAACCAAGGGTTGCCATCGTTGCAATCAACCAGTAAAAGTAAAGTCAGCTTATATACATCCCACTGCTGGAAGCAGGCCTCCTCTTACTTCTGAGAGGGTTTTAGAACAAGGAAGTATCTGCCGTGCTATGGTCGTATATCATAAAGAAAGCTTAATCAATAAAAGTTACACTATTACATATAATAAATATTAACATACATATACATCCAACAATGCGTGCATCGAAGCAAGAAGGTACAAGGGTGGGATTGTCACGTGTTCCTGCTGCCTTCTTTAAAACTTTCATGTTGAAGGGATCATCATTTCCAGACTGTAGTGCCAACAATTCTTTCTTCTCGAGACCAGTAGCATGTTCCATGGGATCAGGCATCACTGTTGAAAGTCAGGTTGTTTCAATTTAATTAACACAATTTTTTGTATAGGATAAGGGTAACAAGTGAGCACACACAGTCCACCTGATGGTAAGTGGTTGCTGTGGCCCATATACATCTACATCTATCCTTGTATGCGAATCAAAATGCAGAGGCGTTGTCAGTCGTGAGGACTAAGATGGAATGCCTCTTTTCCTGTAAAAAGGGTCTCCAGTTCTCTACACTCACCATACGAAACAGAGCAGCATTGAGCCGTTATTTTACGCTAGTATTATGTGAGAGCGTAGTCCTTCCCCAGTCAAGTAGACCCATTTGTGCTACTACTATACTATTAATATAGTTGCAGCATGGTTCTACCAATATAAAAAGTAAAGTAACAAATAATAAGCAAAAAATCTATAGAAAAGTATATAGCCACTGGAGAGTATATCTCTTGTATTTTAAAATGTAGAGCAAAGAATGTAATTGAAGGTTTGGAGAAGGAAAATACTTTAAAGGCACAGGTTGGCAAATTTCATTTAAAGACTTGCAACTTTTCTCACAATGTCATCCTTAATAACCTTAAAATTGTAATGAATACTTGTTTAATAAAAGTTTCAGGTCTCTTTGTAAAATAAAATCATCTGATCATCATGACCTAATTTTATGTGTAAACTAAAGTTGTAGAGTTTTAATGATATCAGAATTTTAATCTGTCTCTCTGCCTTATAAGTATGGCAATATTAGCAAATTGTCCCAAGGGAGGGAGAAGTTAATGTTTAGATTTATGCTGCTAAAAGAGTGATGAAAAAGAAGCAACATATGATTATTAAATTACATTTTTAATAGAAAGATAGTAGTAGTTTACAAAAGATGAATGAATAAGAACCACTACTTTGCAATGTATAAGACTTGTTTCCAAAAACTATAGCTTCTTTCTTTTCGTATGTAACGATTTGCCTAGCACAAAAAAATAATTTTGTTGCTTTTGTGAGTTTAACATAAAAATTGTTTGCAGCAACCACAAGACTAGAATAAGGGTTTCACCTCAATAGAAATTTAAGAGTTCATTTTACGGAAACCGTGCCAGAAGGTAATTAGACAGATTACGAATCATATTTTTATAAATTTATAGATAAGATACATAACCTATACATTAATTTTTTTATCAATCTATTATGTGTGTAAGACACTAAATTGTAGCGGTAGTCCATATTACCCCTTTATATTATGTACTTTATTTTATACTATAAGTATTTACAGAAAATCAATAAAATGTGGTTAACATGACGTTTATAGATAGGACAAATAAATAGTAAGAAAAATAAATGTCTCCATACAAATATTTTTTTACGATATTTATGAACATAACATGCTGTTTTAGTCCTGTTTTATTTCTATTTATAGCAGTTTTTGATAATAACTAATAAATTTTTGACATTACGTAACTAAAATTTGACAGGTAAGGAAGGTTTTGAAGATGATCAGTAATTAATTCTTACTTCTATCCGCATATCCCCGACGGGCAGTTGATAAAATAAGATTTCTGCAAGCATTTGCGCGAACAATTTGTCTACACAAGGAGGCCATTCTGCTGGTTTCACAATTTTATCACTAGACCGCTTCTCACGATAGCAAGTGAAACATAGATAAATTAAAAGTGGAAGTTTAGACTTTAGATATTTTCTGTGTTACCATAACCAACCTAATATTTCTCCCTAAATCCGAAATTAAGAAAAAGCAATTTTCATATAAGTTGCAAGTATTTTTCTTTGCACAATTATAATCCTTTCTTAAATAGCTCTTACACTTCTTACACAAAAATAAATCATACATAAAAAGTTAAAAAAGTAGTCCACTTCCATTCCTAAAAAGGTGTTCCATCCTCGGTTCTCGATATACCCACAGCCTACAGTTTAAGCAAAATCCGTAATATAAACACGGGTGGTGACAAAAACCTCAAGTATCACAGTGGTAGAGTCACGCGGCAGCTTTTGCTGTCGTACGGTTGGGCCGGCTTGAACCTGGGTGGTACCACGACCTCACAGAAAACCAGCGTGAAGTAGAAGTTTACCTCTGCGTTTCGCTTGGTGAGTGCAGGTGGCCGGAGGCCCTTTTTACTGGAAATGAGGCATTCCATCTTAGTCCTCACGGGTGACAACGCATCTACATTTTGATTTGTGTTGAAAGGAGGATAGATGTAGATGTCTATGGGCCGCAGCAACCACTTACCATCAAGTGGACTGTGTGCTCATTTGTCACCCTTATCCTATATAAAAAAAAAGTATTTCATTTTGAGCATAAGGAATCTTTATTAAAGATACAAACGTCTTCGCATCTCTGCTGGCTTAAGCTGTCGTTAAAATCTCCCAGAACATCGCAATGCAACGCATCAACATAATGATTTATTTAATAATCATTATTTGTATTTACACTTCAATTATCATTTTATTAAATACAGTAGAACCTTGATCACTTAAATTTCGACAAGGTAATAACAAAACCTCTTTTACTTAAAATACAAACCCTCTATAACTTAAACAAATGATTTGGGCTCAGTAACTCAAAGTTCTAACGAAGACAACCTTTGTAACTTCAATCATCAATCAATGAGTGATTTTAAATGAATATGCAAACAATAAAGGTTCCCTGTAGACCATCGTTACTGCTTACACGTTTTTACCAAATGGCTTCAAATGTAAACAATATACTAAGATCTAAGAAATAATGGATACCGTTATTCATGGTGTTAAGAGTGATAATATAGGCGAAGATTTAAATGACGAACCACAAGATCGACCTCCGATTATATCTATCAGGGACCTCAATAACTCACATTATTTAACGTTTATCTTGGTCTTTATCTTATCGATGTTCTACTGTATATACAATACTGGCTTATTAAGCGTGGCTTCGCGCGCTTTGAAACCCATGCAAATAAAGGAACATCATCACTTGTATTTCAAAATTAGCAAATTGAATCACTAGTGGAATCACTCTAGTGTCTGTGTCTCTATGTCTGTCTGTCACAGGAATTTAATAGATACTGTTTGACGTAGATAACTAAAATTCGGTATAGTTTAATATGCTGCAGGAACATAAAAATGAAGAAATGCATTAATATGCAGAATTGTGTTATATATAAGTAGCAATTATTTTTCGAGTGTGAATTATACGTCGAGCAAGTAGCAACACCTATCAGTAATTTCTTTCGATGTATCTATATATCCTTAAGATCATTTGAAGGGTACATTGGCTTGGAATTGGAATTGCGTTATTTACTTTTCACTCTTAACATTTATTTTGAATTAAAATTAATTTAGTTTTATTAAAATAAATATTACGTTAATACAAAGATGTAGATACCTACATTCAGGATTCCAAACAAAAATTCTAGAGCATTTAACAAAAGTTCTGGAACACTCAAAATCCAGGTATATAATAATTTAAAATTAAAAGTGTGTGTGTACTTATGTACGCACGTAGGAAGTTATATTTCTTTAGTGTAACAAAACAAAAAAACTTGAGAAACATATACCCGCTGAATCACTGAAGTTGTCGTTTTTAAGTGTCAGTGTGCGTGTGCATCGTAACCGCTTCATGGTGTCTTTTAAGGTGTCGGTGTGCGCGCACATCGTAAAAATTCACTCTCATCATTTTTTTCAAACGCCCCAAAAGAAGTATAGCTACAAAATTTTGTACAACCGACTTTAGTATAAATTATTAAGAATAACTCAAAAACGATTCGTCAGATCTTAATCAAATTTATATGGAACCACACAAGAATCGCCACCTTTCAAATAAAGTTTTTTTTTTATCGAAATCGGTTAACCCAGAAAAAAGTTATTAGGTACCATACATAACAAAACATACAGTCGAATTGAGTACCGCCTCAATAGTCGGTAGAAAAGTGATATGTGGAACTGAACAAGGAGCTTAGGGCCAGTTCACAACGAGACGCCACGCGATGCAACGATGTTTGAAGAGGCCTGTGGTTTCGCAACGCGCAGCTCACCGCTTTTGTTTGTTGCGCCTAAAGACAAAGCTCCGCTACGTCGCGCTACATCGTGAGGCATCTCGAGGCGCATTTTTTTATAGGAGAGGGGGCAAACGAGCATGCGGCTCACCTGATGGTGAGTGACTACCGCCGCCCATGGACAACTGCAACACAAGGGGATTGCAGATGCGTTGCTGGCCTTTTGAAAATGAGTAGGCTCTTTTCTTTAAGTTCCCTAAGTCGTATCGGTCCGGAAAGATCGCTGGTGGTTATCGATTCCACAAGGAAGTTGTGCGAGGAAGAAAACTTCTTCTAAATAGCACAGTGGTGGACCGCCAATCATCCAGATGGTATGGATGGTATCGCGAGTTTTGTAGCGATGTGCGATGGTGAAATTGAGCAGCTGGAATTAGTTCGAACAATTCCTCAGAGCACTCTTCATGGTAGATGCGATAAAATACGCAAAGAGAGAGTGAGTCAAGCTGATCGGAAAGAACTCGATCGTCGACTATTCGAACCGCTCTGCGCTGGATGCAGTCAAGTGGAAGGAGCTAGCACTAGGGAGCCCCTGCCCAGAGAAAGGAACAGTATCCCACGTGGGGCCAAACCTACGCCTCGTTAACGCAAGTTGCAAGCGGTGTTCCGGCATGAAATACTTACTGTCCCGCTCTGCTGAGCACGCCAAGCTTTTTAGAGACCAATTTGGCCTTCTCTTCCAAGTGACTTCGAAACTGGACATCACTCGATATGTTGACACCGAGGATTCCGATACTGGCTGACGCAACAAGGGGAGTGCTTTGAAACTGAGGAGATACGATAAAGGGGTTCTTTTTAGCGGTAAACGCGCAAACTTGTGTCCCTTCTGGGGATTGAACTGGACTAGATTAAGTTGCCCCCAGTACGAGACTTTGTTCAACAAAGTTTCGACTTCAAACACAAGTTTATTCCGGTACTCGGCGACGTTTTCCCGAGGATCATCCTGGAGAAGCAAACCCACCCCCAAGGGTAGGATGCAAAAAAGACCACATCCCGTCCCAGTCGGCCAACCTATAGTGCCAAACATGGCAGCAAGCTGCAGATCTCAACTGCGATGGGAGCGTAAGTGGCACCGTACTCCGGATCAGACAATGATCCGAAGAGCCAAGAAGAGCATCGACGGAGACCTGATATCCATCCGGATGAGAGGCCAGCAGAAGGTCCACAAGGGAAGGTACATGATCCTTCACATCTGGGATCCGCGTAGGCGAAGTAACCAGTTGTGTCAGAACATATTCGAGGGCATAGTCATAAACAGATCTGACCTGCATGATCGGTTAAACGGGAATCAAGCCATTCAGCTTGGTGGGTGTTAAAATCACTGAGCATCACGGTATCTGCGGATGGGACCTGTTATAGCACCATTTGAACGTGGTCGATGAGTCGGTCTGTGTCGGCATTACCGCCATTGGACCTACAGGGGCACCCATAAACACAGGAATGGTCGTCGCTGTCTACGCGCAGCTGTAGGGTGGACAGGTCCGTACCTTCAAGACTGCCGAGGTGTCAAAGACAGTGTGTATGTCCTCTCTGATGTACACGCAATCTCCAGTCCGGGGCACAAAGGAGTGTTCTAATTTGTACCCCGGGTAGGAGAGATACGAGGTATCAGATGATTTTCGAATTATCTCAATAAAATATGTATCTTTTTGTGTAGTAAATAAAGTTATATTTTGTATTACTATCTTAAAAAGTGCGCGCTGCGTCTCGGTGTGAGCTAACTTAAGGACGTTGCTGGTACAATTCCGCGTTAAAATGTCAAAATTAACTCTCATGTTGCCATATCGAAAACAAAGCTGTGTAAAATATTAGTTAATAAATTTTAATCCAAAAATGGATATATTTTGAAAAACGTTACGTTGTCCGTCTTAATCGTGATTTTGTACATGGTTTTTCATTAAGAGCACTCAAACTTTGATATAAAGTAAAACAACCTGTGTAAGTGATATTGTCACAATTTATATTTTATTTTAAAGGACATTCGATGAAATTATGTATGGAATATAATTTCAGCCAAATGGCCACCGTGACTCCACTGTAGGTGGTGTATTCTGCTGGACTATTTTTGGATGACATCCTCATATAAATGGGGTTCAATTTCATAAAGAACGCGCATTATGTTGGTCTTCAGGGCAGCAATTGTCTGCGGTTTATCTGCATAGACCAGAGATTTCACATAATTTAGTGGCTTTATCAAACATAATCTGCCTCAAATTTTGTTTGATGAAGCCACTCAATCAGAAATTAGCCTCACTGAAGATATTTTTTTACCGGAAGCAGGATCAGCCGCCAAATGCTCTAAAGCCTAATCAGTGAATACATGGCGCTGTCTGTAGTAATTGGGTTTTAGCCAAGGAAGTTATAATATAATATAGAGAGTGAGCGCTTGGAACATTGTAACCGTTCCTCATTTTTCTTAGAAAGAGAGGCACCGAGTTTAGTATTTTATCTCCTTTTAACATTGATAAATGTTTACACAAAATAAAAAACATTACCAACGTTTAGACAGTTATTGACTTAAAGTAATATTTTTGACGTATGCTAGAACGGTAATCTT